TGAATAAAAAACAGACCACGTTAAGATTCCATGTAATAAGCTATTTCACCATAACCCCTTTAACAGGGTTCTGGATCATCAGACTTTACTTCCAAATGCTGAAATAAAAAATGAAAAGAAATTCACACGTTTTTTACGGACCTCATCAAGTATACGCAAAGTTAACGAAGTGAGGAAGTGAGGTGGGAGAGAGGATATGAGTCTGTCATATGTATCATTTTAGTTTCCTATTTTAACCCCAGTGTGTCGGCTGGATGTTGCTCAAATCTAACGCGTCTCGTCTCTAGATAAAGGTGGTTAAGGGGTGAGCGATAAGGACTACATTAGAAAGACGTTACAACAACCCCAATAAATTACACGACAGGTTTCATTCAAATTCTTAAACGCTGTATATATATATATATATATATATATATATATATATCCCAAGAGGATAGAATCCAGGTAGAACTCAATGTCCTGGACAGAGTAAGAATATAATATAAAAGGCTCAAACACTAATATTCCATGGTTATAATTTATTACATTGGAATTGGAATCACGATCCAATTCATCAGACCTACAAATTCGAAAAGAAACCGGATGCAACGGCAAAATTCTTCAAATCATGTAACAGCATAATTGTCCTTCCCACAAAATGTTTAATATCTAAAAAAGTTTCCATTTTCCAGGTTTTCAGTTAAGACGTTTAGCCATCTTGACAACATTTATCGTAAGAATCACTGAAAAACCATTTGATTTATTCAACTAAAATAGAGCAGGTTAAAATTATTTTATGTCAGAACCACTGTCTTCTCAACTGAGCAATGGTGAGAGGAAAAATATCATTCAGGTCAACATTCATACTCTAGCTTCCATCTTCAAACTCCATTCAAGAACCATCTAGAGAACAATGAATAAGTTTTAAAAAGAGGGAACAGTAGAGAGGAAACTGGATTAGGAGGTCACAACAGGAAGAGGGATCATCATTTCAATTTAGAGCTAAAGTGATCAATTAGAAAAGATCCAACTCAATTCATAAGACGTTTGGCACGTGAGAGAGGAGTTTCAGCTATGACAGTCCAAAGAGCAGTGAATAAAGACTTGAAAATGAAATCGTACTTGAAACCTGTAAGGCAACTTGTCACTCCAGGACAGAAAGTTAGAAAGTTAGAGAGGGGGGAAATCATCTTGAATAAGGTGGCAAAAAATTTGACTGAATCAATTTTTGTGAACAGCACTGGATATAATTTTAATCAAATACAATCAAAATGGACATGATCTTGAAAATGCATCAGCATCGACGAGAGTTTATAAACAATGAACAATTTAAAACAGGATCCTTTTGCTCTGTCAACAATTACTCATCTGATAGAAAAGTTTGGAACCACAAAGACATTGCATCATATTCCTTCAAGTGGGAGACATTCTTTAGAATCTGAGCGTACATCTGAAGTTATAGATAAGTCTGTTAATAATTAGATCGTAAATGTAATCTCGTTTATAAAACAAAATGGAGGAAAAACTCAAAAATTTGTTGTAATTTCATAAACACCATTTCATATCAATTTATTTCAAAATATGTTGTTCTATTCACAATTTCTTACTTTGCCCGATAATTGTTTTAAAACTTTCGTTCATTTATTTTCATCCATTATATTATCCTACATTAAGACTGTTACCAATAAAATGTCGTTTGGAATTTCTCGGAAGAATAACGAGAAAAATGCGCTTGAAGAATCTGATACTCGCAAGGTAAATAGTTGGCAAGATTGGAAGAAGAAAACAGCGAGCAACTTAGCGTTTCAGCTCGTGTAAATGGATGTCAGAACAGGGAAGTAAGTGAGACGTTTAAAAGAGAAATCTTGCTACAAAGGATAAGAAATTGTAGAGAATAATAATTGCTTACGTTTTTTCGCTTTCACATCTTTCTGAAACGAGACTCATGTATTACTTTCGTATAGGGGTTTAGAAAAAACGGAGAAAATTAAATTAGATTACGTAGATGGCCTTGCCTTGTTGTATAACACGATTGATAAGGTTACCAAACTTCTCCATCCCATCGAAGAAGCGGCCAGCAAGATTGGTCTCTACATTAATCCTGGCAAATCAGAATTTATCAGCTACAACCAAGAAGGAGAAATTAAGTTAAAAAAAAACGGCAACAATATCAAATCCGTTCAAGAATTTGTTTACCTCGCCAACAACATCCAGTCAACGGAGAGAGACATCAAAATCTGCAAAGGTAAAACCTGGGGTGCCCTTGATGGTCTGAGCAGTATATTGAAGTCCTCCCTCTCTGACAATCTTAAGAGGGACTTCTTTAAGTTCAAGGTATAAAGTCTGTCTTGCTCTACGGCTCAACAAAATGGACACTGATGAAACACCAAGAAGGATCACTTGACGGAACATACACAAGGATCTTACGAGTTGCATTGGACATTTGCTGAAACACCAAAGAAAGAAACGCCTAAATGGACACCTTCTTCCTATCTCAGTTTCGCTAAGAGAGAGAAAGCTTCGTCTAGCTGGTCAGTTCTGGAGAAGTAAGTCAGAACTTGTGAGTGGACACCCTCTTATGGCACCCATTACGCGGCTAAAGATCGGTCGTAAGACCTCATCACACCTACATCGACCAACTTGTACATGACTCTGGATGCCATCTGGAGGAGCTGCCGACAGCGATGTCTGACAGAGATGGTTAGAAGGAACGAGTCAGGAGAATCCGAGAAGAATTCTCGACCATATATATATATATATATATATATATATATATATATATATATATATATATATATATATATATATATATATCAGGTAGAGAACCTAATTCTTCTGTAAAAAGAGATGGGACATGATGAACCAGGAAAAATATATTTTCTGGGAAATAAATTATAGACATGGAAACTTAAGGCTGTCTATGTTTTTAATTATTTAATATATATATATATATATATATATATATATATATATATATATATATATATATATATATATATATATATATCTGTGTGTGTGTCTGTGTGTGTGTGCAGTGGATAGAAGTCATTATTCATAGTTAACCAGATTAGTTATGTATATTAGTGTTTATTATTATGTACTTTATAACATTACCAGAGGCAGTTGTTCAAAATCATATAAAGGCGTAGATATTAAATACTGATTTACTAGGCAAACATTCCTGGAGAAGTAAGTCAGAACACCCTTCTATGGCACCCATTACGCGGCTAAAGATCGGTCGTAAGACCTCATCACACCTACATCGACCAACTTGTACATGACTCTGGATGCCATCTAAAGGACATGCCGACAGCGATGTCTGACAAAGATGGTTAGAAGGAACGAGTCAGGAGAATCCGAGAAGAATTCTCGACCTGCTGATGATGATGAATGACCCAGTGTTGATAATAGACGC